TAGTTGGCCGAATGATTGTTGTCGAACTCAATGAGGTAAGACTGCGACAAAATGCTAAACTAGCGACTTTTAATGTCTAGTTGTACTCTCTAGTGAACAGTCAACAAATTGTTCAGAAAAAAAGCACTAACAAATTTTTACAGGTTCATTCTTTTTTTATTAAGAACCTCGCACTAGCAGACTTTCTGATGGGCCTTTACTTGTTTATTATTGCCTATCACGATGTGGAGTTTCGAAATGAATACATCAATCACGAGTCGTCCTGGCGAAGTAGCTGGCAGTGCCAGTTCAGTGGCGTCCTGTCCACCATTTCCTCTGAATCCTCCGTTTTTATTCTCGTTTTTATCACCGCTGACCGCTACGTTTCAGTGATGTACCCGTTCTCAATGAAACGGCGGCGAATATCGAATGCCGTTCTTGGCATGTTTGTCGTCTGGTCGCTGTCAATTGCCATCGCCATCATTCCACTTGTCTTCTCTAATTGGTTTCCAAACGAATTCTACGGCAACAATGGCGTCTGCCTGGCGCTGCAGATTCACGACACATTTGCTGCCGGTTGGCAGTACTCATTCCTAGTTTTTGTCGTCCTCAACTCTATAGCCTTTGGCTTCATTGCTTTTGCCTATATCAAAATGGCCACTACAATCATTCATTCTAGTTTGAGCATTCGAAGTACTCAGATGACGCAAGATAAGGCAATTGCCAAACGTTGCAGCTTTATCGTCGCCACTGATGGTGTTTGCTGGCTTCCAATTGTCATGATCAAGGTGGCCGCTATTGGAGGTAATGCTTGCACAAAATTAGTTGTCTTTTGTTTTTAAGCAACAAGTGTTGACTACTAAATAAAACCAAACAGTGGGCTTATGCTTAAACAACCATTTCGTTTGACAGGCATTCCAATCAACCAAGACTTGTACGCCTGGGTGGCCGTCTTTCTCCTGCCGGTCAACTCTGCGCTAAATCCCGTTCTGTACACACTGACGACCAAAATGTTCAAACAGCAAATGAACCGCATGTTTGCCCATCGCTTTTCATCTCGCTACCGCGGACACCAGCCTTCAACGGCGGCCGGAGAGAATTCAAATTCTTCATTTTGTTCCATTAGTCAACGAGACGTATCAAACGCTAACAACCACACGGTGACCACTGCTGGCGGCAACGGCGTTTACTCTTCCAAGTTTAGCAGTCAAAACTCACTCTATCTATTTAACAGACGATTTCCAACATTTCCGTTTTTTACTAGAGTAAGTGCAATACGGCTGTGCTATATTTTGCTTTATTTAACAGCTTTTTTCTAGAAACGATCTACAAAATCAAATAAATCTTCCATGAAGCCAATTAATGAGCCGGTCGAAGAAACCACTGACAACAGGCCAATGATCAGTATGAGCAATTTTTCTGTGGCAAAAAATAATGAACCAGCAGAAAACTTAACATCACCTGTTACATTACAAGTTAAAGAAACAACTGGTAATATTGAAACGACATTTAAAAGCGATTCTCACATTGAAAATTCAATTAAAAAAAGCAATACTTTTTAAAAGACTTAATGATTATTTTTATGTTATTAATAACTACAAAAAAACTATTTAATTTACTTTTATAATTTTTTAATACTAGTTAATAATTTTTAATAGTATTAAAAACTAGATTTGTAAATGAACCTTGTTTAATATTTTTATTTTTTTCATCGTTTAAATCTGTAATAAAAGTCATAAATTCAGTATTAAAACTAAATCAAAATAAGTGTTGGCTATTTTTCTTTAAAAAGTAATTTAATAAATTAAAAATAAAATATTGTTGTGTGCATGTTAGAAAAATTGTCGTTTGTGTGCAATAAAATAAGTTTGACTTTTATGTTTTGTCGTTTGCGTTTTAAATCTACTTGGCACAAACGGCACGCTCAACAAGTTGTTAATAAAAAAACGTAAATTCAAAAAATGTTGTTTTAAAAAAACACACTTTTTATGAAAAAATATAAATTTAAATACATCAAATAAACAATTGTTTGAATGACGCATTTTGTTTTTTGTTTAGTTTAACTTTAACCATGACCTACAAGTTTTTATTCACGTTGCATCACTTGTTTTTATTGCACTTAATGTTTGTTTTAACAGCGATTTACAACTTTAATCTTTTTTGCTTTATTTTAAACTAAAAATGTAGGCGTTAAAAGCAACAAACAATTTTATTTATTTTTCTGAAAAATATTTTTGGTTTTTAAAACTATTTAAAATGAAAAATCAAGTTTTTAAATTATTTTATATTTGCTTTTTGTTTAACATTATTTTCAATTTTAAAAATGTTGTAAAAACAACACCTTCTTCTCAACCAAGTTTTTCTAATGTTTTTTGCAATACCAGTTTGTTGTGTGGTTTGAACGCTTTGTGCATAAACAATAATTGCATTTGTCAGTTTGGATATAATACGACTGCTCATTTTTCAAATTGCACTCAAATTTATTGTCAATATAATTCGCAATGTCCCATAGATGGGCAATGTGTTAACGAAATTTGTCAATGTCCAAATGACAGTTGCACAATTGATTATGAAACACAATTGTGCCACAAGAAAAAAAGTGATACATTAAACCTTTTAGTAGTTCTTCCAATAATCATTATACCTCTTGGCATTATTGTGTGTTTTGCGTTTCGTTTGCACATTCAACTTTTGAAAACAGGTCATTTTCCTGAACGGGTCGGATGGCGACAATTTATCAATTGGCCGTTTGATTGGCCAGACAAAACTACCGACAAAACTAAACAACCACAACAAAAAAGTTTTAAATAAATTTTGACAAAAACAACTTTTTGTTTAAAACGGTTAACTGTCATAAACTAAAAATTAATTATTGCTTGATAACATAATTTTTTTGTTTGTCTATTTATTATCTTAAATAAATTTATGCACAATATCTAATTAAATCAGTATAATAATAGTTATAAATTAGTCGCTGACAAGCATTACTAAACTATCTAACCCATGTCAATCAATTATTTTAATATCATATAAATTTTGTATGATTAACAACGTAATTAAAAATTAAACATTTTAGAATAAAAATGAATTTTTTTATTTTTGTTTGTGTTTTTATTGTTGGCGTTTATCAAATAAATGCTGTTTTACAACCAATCATTTATAACTTACCTTTAAATGTAATTTTTTTAAATATTTTTTAACTTTTTAATTAATTTTTTTAATTTTTTAATAGCTTGGTATAACTGAACCAAAACCAGGAAATATTTGGCCAAAACCACACAAACAACAATCATCTACTACCCAATACACAATAGACAAATCAAAATTTCATTTTACAACTAACGCTCTTTCTTGTGATATCATTAAAGGAGCTATTGACCGGTACAATAGTTTAATTTTCATTGATAAACACTCTAGCAAAGCACCAAATCACAGTTTAATTGAAGAAGTAAAAGTAGAGGTTAGTGACTTGTCATGCGGTTTTCCAACTCATGATGCCGATGAAACTTATACAATTCACGTACCTGCCCATGGAGCGCCTCACCAAATTTCCATTAACTCCAAAACCGTATGGGGTGCTTTACGGGCTTTTGAAACCCTGAGTCAAATTGTTTACGCAAATGATGAACATCATCTATTTCTCAACCAAACTGAAATTGAGGACGCTCCGCGATACAAATACAGGGGCCTTCTTTTGGACACTGCTCGCCACTACCTGCCAAAAAAGATCATTCTAGCAAATCTTGATGCAATGGCATACAACAAATTTAACGTGTTCCATTGGCATCTAGTTGATGATCAAAGTTTTCCTTTTGTTTCCAAGCAGTACCCTAATCTTAGCAAAAAAGGAGCCTACACTGAAAAGCACGTTTATTCAACAGATGTTATTAATGAAGTAATCAGCTACGCCAGGATGAGAGGTATTCGGGTAATACCTGAACTAGATTCACCTGGTCACACGCATGCACTGGCAAAAGCTTTTCCTGATTTACTGACGCCATGCTATAAAAACGGTAAATCTCATCAAGCCAACTATCCACATTACGATGCTACTGAAGTGTTAAATCCAATGAAAAATGAAACTTACTCAATTATGAAAAACTTGTACTCTGAGTTCAAAAGCATTTTTAAAGATCAGTATATTCATTTAGGCATGGATGAGGTAATGTACAGTTGCTGGAAATCTAGTCCTGAAATTTCTCAGTTTATGGTCAAACATGGTATGAAAGCCTATCACGAAGTTGAGGAGTACTACGTGAAGCTTACACTATCAAATGTCAAAGAAGTGGGCTACAAATACCTTATTTGGCAAGATCCTGTAGATAATGGCGTTAAGGTATTAAACTTATCATTTTATCAAATCAATTTTTTATTCAATTGTTTGCAGTTGGCACCTGATTCAATTGTCGGCGTGTGGAAGGACAAACATCTAGATCCATCAATGGATTTGTGGAAAAACTACATCAGCAAAGTCGCCAAAAAAAGTAAATTGGCAAAATAATCTTGTTTTAAGTTTAACACTATCAATTCTGACAACACAGATTACTCCATAATATTATCTGCATGCTTTTACTTAAACTACATAACTACACCTTATCCGGGAAAAGACTGGGAAACTTTCTACCAGTGTGACCCGAGAAACTTCACCGGAACAGAGGCGGAGAAAAACTTAGTCATAGGAGGACAGGCTAACGTTTGGGGTGAATTTGTCGATCAGACGAACATACTAAGTCGATTGTGGCCAAGGGCGTCAGCAGTCGCCGAGCGGCTGTGGTCTGATGCGGCCCAAACTAAAGACATTCAAACTGCTCGTTTCCGCCTGGATATGCAACGTTGTCGCATGCTACGGCGTGGCATCCCAGCGGCGCCAATCCTCAACGGCTACTGCGGCGATTGGGAGATCCCAGATGATGAAGGGGAGCTGGTCAATGCCGCACAAATTGTTAAACTTTAAACAGAAAAAAGTGATTAAAACTGTCGATTTTTTTATTTTGAACACTACTACTATTTTGAAAAAAAGACTAAAAGACAATAATTGATCGTATGCATTTACCCTCTTTTAGCAGCTGAAAAGCGTCATTAATTTGCTCCAGTGAGAAGCGGTGCGTCACCAGTCGATCAATATTGTACTGCCCATTAAGGTACATCTCACCGAGCTGATTAAAGCCCTCATCAGAGCGCTTTTTCCCTAGAAAGCCGCCCGCCACCGTTCGACCGGTGAGCATTTCAATGGCGGGAAAGTTGAGCGTCTTTCCGCCGACGCCCACCAGAGCCAGCGTGCCGGTCGGCTTGAGCGCCTTGAAGGCACTCTCCATCACCCCCTGGTTGCCAATGCACTCAATGGCGTAGTGAACGCCGCCGTACTTCTCCTTCAAGTACTGCTCCACCGGTCTGTCCAGCTCCTGCGGATTGACAAACTCCGTGGCGCCAAACTCCAGGGCGATGGCCTTCTTGCTGTTGTTAATGTCAATGGCGATGATGTTCTGGGCGCCGTTGAACTTGCACCCAAAGACGGCATTCAGACCAATGGCGCCTAGGCCGATGACGCAGGCAGTCGAGTTGGGCGACACCTTGGCGAGGTTCGTTGCGGAGAAGAAGCCAGTCATCACTGCGCAGCTGATGATGCAGCAGTTCTCTTTGTTCAGGCGCGGGTCAATCTTCACCACCTGTGACTGCTTCAGGAGGACGTACTCACTAAAGACGCCCAGTCGACAGAACCCCCAAACGCCGGTTCCATCTTCCAGTTTCTTATTCGTCGAGGCGTTTCTAATTTGGAAACCGTCTTTTTCACAAAAGTTAGACGATCTGTCCTGGCAGTCTTTGCACTGATCACACTGAGACATAATATTGGTGAGCACAAGGTCACCAGCTTGAAGTTGTTTCACCTCAGGACCGACGGACTCGACCAGGGCCAGACCTTCATGTCCAAGAACCATTGGCAAGTTAGACGTTTTCATGTGTCCCCACTTGATGTGACCGTCGCTGGCGCAAATTCCTGCAGATATCATCTTGATTCTCACGTGATCAGCTAATGGAACATCAATGATCACTGATTCAATAGACAGTGGCTGGTTGGCATCACGAAAGATGGCAGCTTTGCAGGTGATTGCCTAGTAATGTATTTCAGTTAGTTATCAAAGCATTTAAATTAAGTTATTTTTACAAAGTTACCTTTAGTTGAGACATGTTTTGATTTAAATGTTTCAAAATGTTTAATAAACTTAATTTCAGATGAGTACTACAGTAGTTAGCAAACATAAATAATGTGTTTTGTATCTAAAAAGTGGCTATCATGTCGATAAAACAAGAGACTCAAGGTTGTGAAAACTGATAAATTATACTTACGTGCATATACCAAACTAGTGAATATTGTATATAATTTTTGTACATAGTAAGTTAAATTAAAAAATCTAGTTCAAAACAAAAACTAAATTGAACTTTTTTGTCAAAATATTTTTGTTAGTTAACCAGTTCATTTTTTACTTGTTTTGGTCATAAAACTAAAATCATTTAACTTAAAACTAAAATTTAACTTAAAAAAACTTATTTAATATTTTTAAAAGTTTAGAGTTTGTACATAATAAAATTCGAATGTGTAAAAAATGTGTTTTTGTTTATAAAATTTCATATTGTGCTTTTTGTGTAAACGTCATATCCTTTATGCAAGTTGATTTTACGCTAGTAATACTTCCGATTTCAATTTCCAATACGTAACACAAGCACACAATTTGACGTTTTTGTACAATCTTTGTTTGTTTGTTTATTAAAACCTTCGTTTAAAATGATTGTATTTTATTGTAATTGAGTTGCTTATCTTGCATTAAACGGTTAAATAATGTTTATATAATTTGAATGCTTTCATGTTTATGCGTTTATGAAATAAACTCAGTTTCGTTATTATCTTAATAATTTAACAATTGTTTAAAAAGTAAAATGTTTTATTATTTAGTTTTTGAGCATTGTATAAAATATATATTTTTAATTTTAGATGCATCAATAACAATGATTGTTCTGAAAGTTATCATTTGTTATTTACTATTGCAACTTTCTGCAACTCAATCAGCAGCAAATTTTACCAAACCGTGTTATAAAGAAAACTATGCTGACGATCAATCAGTTTGGTTGCTCCAATGGGAAGATAACTTTGAAAGGAAAAAATTGACTGAAACCAATGAATGGGACGTGCAACATGAATCTCATTTTTGTGGAGGTAAATTAAATAAAAATGTTATGTAAAATTTTCATGTGAATCTTACAATGCGAGAAATTATTAACAAAGATAGACATTAGTTGCGACATAAAGCAAAATAAGTTAAATTTTTTTGCTTTAAACTGTGACGTAGTGTTTTATAAGTTGTTTTAAATTCTTTTTGACAAAACTAAACAAAAATAGCTTTAACAGTAATTGCAGTGAGTTCAAACAACAAATACTACAATTTATTTTTGTCAAAAAGTTCAATTTGCTCGTACATTGCAACTAAACTAACTTTACTTAAAAGGAAACGGTATTGAGCAGGAATCTTGCAACGTTCAACAAAATGTCCACCTTATCTCGGGAACACTTTCTTTGTGGGCGCAAAAAGAAAAAGAAGACTACTTAAACAAACAATTCACTGCTGCGACTGTGACCACAAAAGGTGTGTTCAGTTATGGTCGTTGGGAGTTTAGGGCGGCGTTGCCCATGGGAAATCAAATTCGAGCAACTGTTTTTACGCGCAACGACAATGAAAGTTACTGGCACGAGTTTGGCCAAATGGACCTGTTTGCAAACACCGGAGACCCAATCATCTTTAGGGGTGTCCATTTTGCAAATAGCAGTGGCAATTACAAGCCTAATGACTACATTTTAGACGTACCATTAAATGAGATGAATGCTTTTCATCTGTACGGTATTGAATGGAATGAAACAGGAGTCCAATTTTTTCTGAACAACAACTACAGTAAAGTTATAAATTTCAATAAAGGTAGAAAATATTTTGTTTTTAACTTAAATTTTAACGTTAGACATTTATTAGCTTCAAACGGTATGGTTCCTAATCACAATATTCGCATTCAAATTGGAGTCGGTGGTAAATTGTTTGCTAAAAAAATACCAGAAAACTTCGATCAACTTCGTTGGAAATGTCCAGCTTTCATAATTGATTATGTTCGAGTGTTTGAAAAGGTTTCAAAAGAAAATGTTGTTTTTGAAAAGTTTTCAAAATGCGAAAATATTTTAAATGACACCGAAAAATCAAACGCATTAATTCAAAACATTTGTGCACTTTCAATGAATTTAATGAAAAATAAAAACAAGTTTTTTGAGTTACAAGAAATTAATTGGCGTAAGTGCTATTCAAATTTTAATTATTTTAATTTTAAATTTTTGTTTATTTTAAAATTTTAGTGCCAATTGTTATAGTTATTTTGCTGGTGCTTTTTTTAATTCTTCTTACTTATTTGATTTATCAAATTGTAAAAGTAAAACGTAGAGTAACAAAAGATGTTCAATTATCTCCAAATGGAAACGATTTAGAGTATTATGAAAATGTTTACGATGATGTAAATCCATATTCCGGCCTTGAACTAAGAGAACAACCTGGAAACAAATTGTCTTATGTGCAACTTCAAGACGGAATTTATTCAATCCCAGGAAACGATTATTTAGAAGTTAAAGATGATTATTACAGAAAAAACACCGTTCAAACTGAACAAAGTTTTAACCGACCTGGAAATGAATATGAAAATCCAATTTTAACTGGAGAATACGACACATTAACGCAAAATATATCAAAACGATAATGTTTGATAAAACTTTTAGTTTTGGTTTTTTCCAGTATGCTTAACTTAAACGATTTTTTTATAAAAGTCAATTATAACATTGGAATCAAACAACCTAAATTTTTTTATTTAACTTTAGTTTTAAACAATTGTAAATAAAAACAAAACAATTGTAATTAATTTGTTCAATAAATTGAATAAAAAATCAATTATTTACACTAGACAATTTCTTCTTTAATTAAAAACTGGTTAAAAATATGCTTAGTGTTTTTTTCATTTATAAATTAATTTTCGATTAATTACAATAAACTTTTTTTAAATGAAATCGTTTACTGAAATAAATACATTGTTTTTAAAATATTGTGTTTTATACTACGGGTTTGTTTTTTTTGTTTTTAAAAACAATTTTATAACTTAATATTTAGTAATTTAGGAATTCACTTGTTTTGTATCACTTGGACCGATGTTTACAGTTTGCTTCATGCAGTAAAAAACTTATGTTTTGATGTAGCAACTATTTATACATTAGTTTCAATAGACATTTTTGAACAATTTACAACTTTAATGTCAAAACAAAAACCATTGTTTGGAATTTTTGCTAATATGGCTCTTCGGTTTATTATTCCTTTAGTGGTAATAACTCAAAAACTTTATTTTTTTATTTTCGGATGGAAAATTATTCAGATTTTAGATTCAAAACCCCTAGAACAAACTTTTCAAAATAAAAATACTGCCAAATTAATTTTTATTTTTATTGTCATTTTTGATTTTATTCGATTTATCATATTTAGCCACTTTGTTGTTCTAACAATATTTGTGCGATCAAATTTATTTTGGTATAATGTTTTATGTTGTGTGTGTATTCATTTGTTGACAATTTATCAGTATCTTCCATGTTTAATGATGCATTATTTTCAGTTTGGAATTCTAAAATATTTAAAATCTGTGGAAATTAACTTGCAGTTGTATGGTAATTTATATTTTGTTTTGATACTTTGATTAAATAATAAGCGTTTTTATTTAGACTCAACAATAATTAAACAAATTCAAATGATATCAAATTTAAATGCATTGTTTTTTGAGCTTTTATCTCTTCCATTTGCAGTATTTTTAACCATAAGCGTCATTAACATTGTGATAAGTTTTTACATTTTGCTATTTTATATCAACAATTCAATATTACTTTTATTTCCAATACTAACGACATTATACTTGCTTTATCTTACAAATATTAATAATCAAATTCAGCAACTTGTTTTTCGGATATGTCAACAGTTAAATGTTTTATATAAAAACAAAAACGCTAAACAAAAACAACTCAAAAACAATTTTTCTGTTTCAAATCACAAATTGCATCAACAAATTATCTATTATGAAACCGAATGCTATTTTAAAGCTTTTCAAATAAAATTGTTTAACTCAATACAAATTAATCGTTCATTTATTCTTAATACAATACTTGTCATCGTCAATTACATGATTTTCATTTATCAAACTAAATAAAATAATACAACTCAGAACATTGGTTGCAAAATGTCGTAAATTTGATCAAATTAAAATATTGTTTAACAGTTGGCCATTTATTTAACCGCCTTTTTATTTGAAAAGGCCACTGTTGGGAAGCAGTCCCCACCGGCTCATATAGAAGAACAGAAATGATCTTTCCTCCTTTGAAGGAGAGAACTAAAGCACATTTCTTAGTTTAACTGTGATTAGTGTTGTGTTGTTTTTTTGGGTAACAATCGTCCGTTGGTATTCTCTGTAAGTGTGTAATATTTGCTGTACAAAAGTTTGTACGTTTTCTTAGTTTCTACTTATAACATTTTCAATTGGGTAGTTTTTTATTGAACACGTGATCGTCCATATGCTGTGTTGATGTACTGTACTGTCTTCGTTTCTTTGCACTGATCAGTTTTTAAATCTGCCTACTGAAGACTGCATTTGAGTGTTCACGTGAGTAAGCAAAACGCTACTACTGTCCCCCTCACTGCTGTTTTGCGTTTTGCAGTGGTGCCTTGCCTGGTGTTACCTAATTCAAAAGTTTGCTTGTCAGAGCAAACGAACTAAATTTTAGTTTGATTTTAAATAAAGCATCCCAACTCAAAAGCAATGGCATCTGCACTGTATCGAGTTTTGGTTAATTCGGCTGATCGTTACGTGCCCAGCAAACTGCGTCCACTGTGGGAACATCCAGCTGGACCAAAAACAATTTTCTTTTGGGCGCCAGCAATGAAATGGGTTTGTTTTTAAGTGAAGAAAATGTTTACCAGTTTGTCATAATAACTTTTTGTTTATTTTTACCTATCACCTCACAGAGCCTTGTTATTGCTGGCCTTGCTGACATCACACGACCAGTTGAAAAGCTTTCTGTTTCTCAAACAAGTAATTGTTATATATTTTAACACTTAACTAGCTATTAAAACTTTACGTTTTGTTTAATTTTTCAGCATCTCTGGCAGCTACTGGACTTGTTTGGTCTCGATACTCACTGGTTATTATTCCTAAAAACTACCCACTTTTTTCAGTCAATTTCTTTGTTGCGCTCACCAATGTTGGCCAGCTCATTCGTATTGCTACATCTGGAAAATCGAATAAAACGGAAGAAACTTCGCAACCAACAGCAATTGAAACAGTGCCTATCAATGCGGCTAACTGAACAACGTAAATTTTAACAAAGACAATCAATATTATCATGTTATGTTATGTTTACCAATGCCAAATATGTAACGCGTAAATTTGAGCAATAATATATTTATTTATTATTGTTTTTACTTTATACACTCCACATGTTTGTTTTATTTATTTATTTGTTATATTTACACAATGTATTGTAAATGAGCATATGTCAAAACACTACATTTCTAGGCTAACAACTTGTATTATTTATTTGTTAAACATGAATATTGAAAACTTTTATTGTTTTTATAGTTGTTATTAAATAATTCAGCAATAAGACATTTTAAAAGAAAATAAAAATTTTAATTTGTTAAACTGGTGCATATAAAACTTTAATTTTAAACATAAAAATGATTGGATTTATTAAAATCAATGCTTGTTCTTTCCTAAATGATATGTTCAGAAATTTACAAAACTGTTGTGACAATATTTTTATTTAAACTTTTGCAGTTATTTTAAAACAAAATTGAAACAGAATTGGATTTATAATAAATTACGCAAACTTATAATCAATTAAAAAATACATGTTTATTTTTATTTTTAATGTGTGAGCCACATATAGCAATTTTAAAAAAATAAAAAATACAGCTTGGAATTAAAATTGAATTGAAATACTTAACGAAATGTTTATCCAAGGATTTGCTCAAACGCTGCAACAATAGCATGACCCTGAAAATATAAAAACAATTTAGAATGATTGGCAAATACAAACAAAAAAACACATACCGTTAGTTGATTTTTTCCGAGAATGCGGTCAAAATGCTTGAAAACGGATTTTAAATAGGGGAATTCCTAAAAAATCATATCATACAATCAGTGATGCATTGTAATAATGTGAATTGTTGCTTACATTTCTAGCAGTTCGGTTAACAAACTCTGAATAGATGTATTTGCGTGCAATTGTAGTGAGCAGCGTCAAGAGGATTATCACCCATCGTGGTTTAATCACGTTCCATGTGCTGTAGTTGGCATTTTGCTGAGTAAAGGGAATACTGTAGGCAGAGGAAAAGTTTTTGAACACTGACTCCCAAGTGGTGATCATATCAAAGGTTGTAAAGGGAATAAGATATCTGGCGCCCGATTTGAGGGCGTTGTTCTTCTCCAGCTGCTCCCAGATAAGGTGGTAGTGAATTGCAGAGAAAGCCATTTGAAAGTACATGCACTGGTAGTGGCTGTACGTCTCAAAGTTCATCTCCGCCAGTTGACAGGTCAGTGTGACGACGTCAGTCACCGAGAGCACCAGTCGGCCGTTTTGCTGGTGAAAGAGCAGAGGGTAGAAAAGCGTAGTCAGCTCCTGAATGACGCCGCCGCTCTCATAGTACTCGTGAAACAGTTTGCCAAACTCCGTGAAAGCTTTCCAGGAGTGTCGTCGGTTGATCTGGTCATCAAAATTCACCTCAAGACGATTGTAGAAGACGGCACTTTGGTAGCATTTTGCGACAAGAATGAGAAAGAGGTAAACTGTTCCAGTGCTGAAAAGTGTGAACAAGGCAAACAAGATTTGATTTAGAAAAAAAAGTTGCACAACAATAAAAGGGGTTACTTACTTGTAGTCGATTGAATCGTTTATTCGCACAAATACGTCCTTATCAATTGAACGCTGCAACAGGTTCTTGGTGATGTTCAGAACAGAGCACCAGGCGTCATCTCGACGTCGCAGCAGACGAGAGATTCGCGATTCAAGGGTGTACTTCTCCTCTTCAACCTTTTCCTCCAGAATATCAAACGAATGGCAGGGGAGATTGTTGTCAGCGAGCCAAGGAAGTTGTTCCCAGTTCTGGAACTCTTCCACGAGTCGGCGAACAACAAAGTAAAATGCAGGAAAGAGCTGGTTCACTCCAAAGAATGTCTGTTTCTGCATTTCGTAGTATTTGACTTGCTCCAGAAGGATTGCCTGCATGCCCTCCTGGCGGAAGAGCGTGTCGTCGTCGTGGACCGAGCTGACAATGTCCACCATCAGTCGAATGTACAACACTTCAAGGCGCAGGACGCGGTCTTCAATGCAGAGTACTGCCGTTTCAGTGACTGAAGGGTCCAGGTACTGTTCAAACTGAGCAAACTTCTCCGAGAACTTGAATTCTTCCGTTTGATTGAGTTTTTCGGCAATCAGCTTCAATACATCCACTTGAACGGCAAGACTTTCAACTGTAGGTTTGGGCAAATTTGATTCCGTGAACGAGTTCAAAACAGCGTCAATGTTTTTCATAGTTTGATCGGACATTTCAGGAATCTCAATATTACATTTGCTCAAATTGGCTTCAATAGTCAAAACGCTATTAAAAAAGTTGCTCAGTTCATTGAGTGGATCTTTAGTTTTCTTTGACTTTGTTCGAGCTTTGGCTCTAGGAGCTGGAAGAAAAGGCATTTTGAACAGAGCATCACTGTTGCCAGTTTCAGTTTTATTTGCTGGTTTCTCCTTAACGCCATCCGTTTGACAAACTTCGATGTTGGCAGATGTAAGTTTAGGTGAGATCAATACTTTATGACTGTCAATTTTGAAAGATTCTGAAACAGTGCAAGTGACGTTTTGTTTGCTCACTTCATCAACTTCCATCGGCTCAATGCTGTTTGGCAAAACCTCATTGTTGGATGTTGAAGATTCTGATTTCTTTTTTGGTGTGAACTTTGCTTTAATTGGAGTTGCGTTTGCAGGTTGTTCGTCAAAAACATTGTTTAGCGCTTTATTACTCAAACGTTTGGATCGGCGTAAATTTGTGTTTTCAACTGCTAACTGCTTGGTCTGTTTTTTCAGAGTAATTTTAACTGGTGATTTTGCTGGCGATTTTAACGATGGTTTGGCAGGCGATTTTGGCTGTTTACCTGCTTTTGAGTTTGTAGCAGCATTGCGAGTAGAACGACGTGCCATTTTGATGATTGTAGTTTTCTAAACAAACAAATCAAGCAGAAAGGTAATGACAATAAATATGGCAGTTTAGAAGTCAGTTGTCGCAAAAATTCAACGGCAAAACAGCAGAGCGGCAGAGCAAAACACAACTGACCAGTAACAGACAGCAAAGAGGTGAGCAAGTGAAGCGGGGGCGCTGCTGCCCACTGTGCAAAATAGTCACTAGCATGGGTAGAAACGGCAGTCATACTGTTTGCATAGCCGGCAAAAACACGCGTTTCTCAGTTTTTGTTGATAACACTGACAGCTGAAACGTGCTAAAGTGCAAACATAACAAAAACTTAAGCAAAAAAATAATATCTTTAAAACAAAACAAAAAAAATGGTTGAAATAAAGTCCTCTTAAGTGCTATTATCCTTAAAAGTAATTAATTTTTTTAAACAAAAATTAATACAAAGTAAAGAAATGTACAGTATATTAAATGTTACAAAAACAATTTAAAATTAAAAATATTATATACAGTTTTAAATATTTTAAAAAATTTGTATTTTGTAAATTTTTGCGACAATGAATAAAAGCCAATTCAGTCATTTTTAAGTAACATGTGAACACTGAGTTTTTTAAAAGCAATTTTTAAAACATCATTTGTCAATGCAACACTGTGAACATAAAAAGGAAATTGGCAATTAAATTCAATCTTTTAAAGTAAATGCTATTCAAATACATTCATTGTTAGCTAATTTTAAAAATATGTCATTTTCAATAAACTAATAAAAATGCATTATTTAAAGTAATTTTTTCTTAAACATATTTTAAAACTTATAAAATATGTAAATATTTTTATTTTTAAAAAATTTTTGTTGTTATTTTGAAACAAAATTAATAATGTTGTAAAAAATAATTTTATTAAATATATTCATTAGATCTTTAAATCATTTGATTTTTCATTTTGCCTAAAGATACAAATTTGAAAAAACTTAATTAAACAAAAGTTCGATATGCAGCTCAAAACACGCAATAGTAAAAAATAGAAAAAAATGCAGTCGTCTACTGTTGAGTTGATTGACAACTTGTTGCTTTGCTGATTTGCTTAAATGCAATTGAAAAATTAAGTTACATCTAACGATTTTCAATTGTTAAAAATTTAAAACTTTGTGCTTATTAACTTGTGCAACAACTTATAATTTTATAAATGTTCATTGCATTTTTTTTAAATTAAAAGTTTTTGTTGTATTTTGTTTTAAAAATTTTAAATTTTATTAGGTTTGTATTTTAAAATTGACAATATATTTTAACTTATAAATTTAAACTTATAATATTTTAACTTATATTAAACAACGCTAATTATTTTTTTAATTTAAAAATCACATTTTTTTGTGTAATAACTTCATTAAATAATACTGAAAAAACTGGTGTGTGCGTGTGACCCTATTTTATACCGGTTTAAGTTTTTTTCAAAAAACTAAACAAAATTTGCAATTATATTTTTTCAAGTACCGATGTGCGTGCTTGAATCTTCTTTTATTGAGTTAACGTTTGTGTGGTTAACGTTTAAACTCCAAAAACTAATTTGACCGTCAAAAGCCAGCAATTTACTAACAACGCGTTTTGTTTACTACAACAATTGTCAAAACCGTTTTTGTTTTGGTTGTGACAAAACAAGTTAACTTTGTTCGAGTTGGCAAACTCAGTTTCATCGAGAAAGAGAAAAACTTGCCTCAATGATTAGTTGCTAATGCAGCAAACTAAACGTCAAGACAACTTGAACATCACACGGTCTGGGCAAAAAACAGACTCACATGTATCCTCAGCATCATCGGCTAGTCTAACAACTTCAAAACAATAAGTTGAAATATTCAAACACGTTGACTGCTCAGTGCAAATTTAAGTTGGATGCGGCCGGCAGCTAAACAAAACCAATTTACCATTGCAAAATTTTGATTGATTTCACATCTACATGCGTAAATTGACCGTAAACCTTTTTGATAAATAAACTGTGTATGTAAAAAGAGTTTTAAAATAAAACTGTACACGATTTGAATGTTTTTTTAACAAAAACCATCAACTGCAATATGAAATATCTGTGATACTGTTGCCAATGTTTTAGTTATAAAAGTTTTTTTAATGTGATTAAA